GTAAAAGACAATGAAGGGGTGGAAAGTTATGTGGATAAAGTTAGAGAGCTGAAAGAAAGGTATTGTTTTAATTCTTTAAACAAAATTCATTAATATATGCATGATGCATTGGCAATTTAAAGCACTTGCGATATTTCCTCTCAAGATCAATTTTCAGAATCACATGATATGTTCTTTTTCAGCTATAACCATGTAAAATGGTAGTCTTACCACATACATCTACCCACAATGTCCTGTATAGTTTTTGTTGTGGTCTAATTAGTATTGATCACATGGAGATTCTGAAAACAAGGCTTAGTTTCTTCAGATTGTAAACCTTCACTGTACATACTTGCCAGCCTTCCACACTGTGTGTGCAAATTTTCAGCTCAAAAAAGTGTTTTTTAATATAGTAGTGGGGTTGGTGGCATTACAGGTGTCCCCAAAATGCCACTTCATACAATTGAAAACAAGTTTTCATCTCATAAAGTCCTATAGATAATGACTGGAAATTCAAATATGAATACAAGAGGATAACTTGTTTTCTTTGAAGTAATAACATGTTTTGTATGCTTAAAAATAAACAAAAAACAATAGTCTGTAAACACAGATTATCAGAAATCATAACCACACAAATACCACATAGTATGCACTCACACTCATGTAATCACAGCCATGCATTGTCAGATATTATCACCACACACATATACCCACATAGTAAGTGTTCACACTCATGTAATCACAGCCATGCATTGTCAGATATTATCACCACACACATATGCCCATATAGTAAGTGTTCACACTCATGTAATCACAGCCATGCATTGTCAGATATTATCACCACACACATATACCCACATAGTAAGTGTTCACACTCATGTAATCACAGCCATGCATTGACAGATATTATCACCACACACATATGCCCACATAGTATGCACTCACACTCATGTAATCACAGCCATGCATTGTCAGATATTATCACCACACACATATGCCCACATAGTAAGTGTTCACACTCATGTAAACACAGCCATGCATTGACAGATATTATCACCACACACAAATACCACATAGTATGCATTCACACTCATGTAATCACAGCCATGCATTGTCAGATATTATCACCACACACATATGCCCACATAGTAAGTGTTCACACTCATGTAATCACAGCCATGCATTGACAGATATTATCTCCACACACAAATACCACATAGTATGCACTCACACTCATATAATCACAGCCATGCATTGTCAGATATTATCACCACACATATGCCCACATAGTAAGTGTTCACACTCATGTAATCACAGCCATGCATTGACAGATATTATCTCCACACACATATGCCCACATAGTAAGTGTTCACACTCATGTAATCACAGCCATGCATTGACAGATATTATCACCACACACATATGCCCACATAGTAAGTGTTCACACTCATGCAGTCACAGTCATGCATTGACATATATTATCACCACACACATATGCCCACATAGTAAGTGTTCACACTCATGTAATCACAGCCATGCATTGACAGATATTATCACCACACACATATGCCCACATAGTAAGTGTTCACACTCATGTAATCACAACTATGCCCACATAATGTAAAACGAAAACAAGATTTTGTCTTTAATAAAATTCATTAGACTGGAATACAAAGTAACCTAATTTTAGATGCAGACTTTTCTACGCAGCAGTTTTTAGGGGATTCAAAGGTTATGCAAGTATCACTTGTATTCCTATTTATTCTCATGAGAGACTTGATAGTGATATTGTTTTAACTTCCCCAAATTCTTCTTCAAGTTTTCAAACCAAAGAAAATGATCTTTCCGCATATGCATTATTGTGAGTGAGTGTCAAACATATAGTTCTGCAAAATGATCTGTAGTTACTAATGGCAGATTTTGCTCTGCAATTAAATTTGAATTTGCAGAAATTTACTTCATCTTTAAATTTGTGACATGTCAGTGATTATTTAGTTTATTTTGAGATTGAGGTATGTATTTGTGCATTTACCCATTGCTCATTGGTGTTGTTATATTGATGGGTGTTGTACACTTCAGATTAATGTTGACATTGTGTTTGCAGTGTGTATTAAAAACAGATATTTTCCCATGTTGATGATCTTCACAATGTCAAAATTCTGTCAACCAGGAATTCTGAAAATTAGTTTTGCTGGACTTTAATAAAACTGATTTAAACTTTACATGTAATAATGTAATAATAATGATGTGTAATAACAGCTGTTCTTCAACATGCATCTCTTTGATTTACCAAACTTCAAATGATTTGGACATGCTCCTTTTAATAATAATAATAATAATGATAATAACGCCTAGCCTTTAGAAGCTCTGAGGACTTTACAGTATTAAATAATACATAACAACATATACAATGACAAGATTGCAAGAACAAACAGCATGAAATTACACAATAATACCATGCTGACAATAATTAAGGCTGCAGTAAACATCATTAAGTCTTTTAAAATGTTCTTGTAGTTGAAATGGATTAGTTTCAAAAGTAATCTTGAATGAGATCAGTGTCCATGTGTCTAAGAACTATGGGCAATTCATTCCACATAGCTGGGCCTTGGTATGCAAAGAATATTGGAGTGACATCAGCATACAGTTGGTAAGACATCAGATGTTGATCAATGACAATTAAGAGTGGATGATTGTAAAAAGAAACAGGACCAATAACATAGCGTTGTGGAACAATAAAACATGGATCGACTGGGCTGGAATGTTTCTTATTCATAGACACAATTTGTGTCCTGTTGAATAAGTAGAACTTGAAACATAGTCATGCTATATTGTGAGTACCAAACACATGCTTGAGATTGTGAAAACCAAAAGCATGCTGGAGATGGTGAAGTAATCTATCATGGTCTATTGTGCCAGATGCCACACTCAGGTCCAGGAGGTTGAGGAGTGTAATCTTTCCACTATCCAAAGCAGACAGAAGGTCATTAACTACTCAGAGGGGAAGTTTCATTAATACAGCAAGGACAATATGCAGACTGTGCATTGCTAAAAAGACTATTTGAATTCAGATGAGATATAAGTTGGGATAAAACAGCTTTTTCTATCATTTAAGACATGAATGAGATGTTAGAAACAGGGCAGTAGTTCTTTAAATTGTTGTGATCAAGTGTTGGTTTCTTCAACTGAGGCTTTAACATGGTGGTTCTGAAAAATGATGGGAATTCCCCAGATGGAAAAAAAGTAATAATAATATTGGTTAGTGAAGGAAGTATGGAATCTAATCATTCAAGCACAACTGATGTTGGAATTAGATCTAATTCACATGACTCTGGAGATTTCTTCATCACATTTGTGTGTACCAAATCCACAGACTCTGAGATGGATTCAAGGTTGCAATGTATTTTCTTTATCACAACTCTATTGTGATGATATGTTAGTTTAAATTGTGTTATTGTATTTTTCTTGAAAATAGCTAGCCAGTTCAGCTTTAAATCTCCGACACTTAAAGGTGTCTTGTTATGACCAGTTTGATTTGAATTTTTATTTTCTGGAATTATTGATTCTTTTGCTGGATGATATCAGAATTTTTGTACATTTATTGAAATTATTTGGAATTCAAAAACTGGAATATTATTCTTTGTGATTCAAAAAGGAACTGTTGACACGTCAACACTTTGAAGGTTATTGAAGATGTCATTGCCTTCCATCTTGGAATTTCATTAGGATATGAACTATGATTCATTTTTAACTTTTTATTGATAGGACTTAGAGTTTTTAATTCTTTGATTAATTTTAGATTTGATTCATAACCATTAGTCCTTTTTCTCATTTATATCTTGTTTTTCTAGGGAAGTGAATTATTTGTTAAATTTTACAAAGCTTGTTGGCTTCACTCTTTTCTTGTTACTTTTGTATAAGCCTAAACATGTAACATTGAAAGAAAATAATTAAATATTCACCCATTTCCTGGCTGGTTCCCATTTTTCCATACCATTAGTACCATGTGTCCTATAATAAAACAACTGACTTTGACATCACTCAGCTTCTTTGTTTATAAACTTTTCATTAACATGGTACCATATGTGCTGGGCACTGTGCCTACTATGTCGGTCAGATAATACTGCCCTGGCTACCATTTTGTACCTGGAATGGGCATCTTTTTTTAAGTAGCCTTGTGGGCTAATATATAGACTTGTACTATATATGTACCATGTGTGTATATATACACACATTTCTGACATTGTTGAGACCCTACATAATTTTATATTTTTATTTCAGAATGAAAGGACTCCAGGAAGAGATAAGTGAAGTCCTGGAGGAGATCAAATACGAATCAGAGGATCTTTATGAGGATGATCGAGTAGAAAGATAGCTCACCTTTGCTCAGACATATTTGACAGATGGCAATACTGACCAGTTGAATGACCAAATGTTGGAAATTTAATATTAAGCAAACTAAACCCATGGATATCAAAGGATATATAGTGACAATTATATGTGAAGAATACTCAGTGAAACATAAAAAGGTGCCAACATAGATTGACGTTTTTAATGAAAAGGCACACATGATAATGGAAACAAAAAGGGATCCTTAGTAAGTAGGTATCCTTTATGTTGGGGTATCCACTAAGACAAGTTTTACTGTGCAGAGCTAACTTTAAATATTGACTTTTTGTCAAGATATAACAGTTTCATTAGATTGCTGTAACCTAAATTAATTACACATTGATAAAATCCCTGTTATTATGCAAAACAAGCATATAGTCATTCATATTTGATTATGATGTGATGTGATTATGATTTTTAACATAGCTTTAACAATTTTTCAGTCATATTGCTACGATGTCTGCAGTGTGACAATTTATAATAGCACTAGGGCATCATGCCACAGACATGTAGCATGATGCCCCACCTAGTCACATTATCCTGACACCAGGCCAACCAGTCCTAACACTAACCTCTTAATGCTTAGTGTCAAGCGAGGCAACTGTTAGTACCATTTTTGTAAATCTTTGGTATGACTCAACCAGGAATCGAACCCATGACCTCACGCTTCTGAGGCAGATGCTCTAACCACTAGGCCACCAGAGTAGTTGAATGTTTTGTCTTGATATCCTGAAAACTTTATTTCTGTCTCCCACATGGTCAGTGTAACATGAAAATTAAATGCTTTTTTTTAAGATTCAAAAGTTTTTTATTTTTATCAGACAAAAAAATCTTAATAATACACACTTCATAATATATATACTTTTCCAGTTAGTATTGCCCTAGATACATTCTTACCTATTTATGGCCATATCAGCTATGCTTTACTGTCCCAAAAATTATTTTACTATGGTAGCATTATAAATCCTTGTGAATTTTTTTAAAACCCTGTATGACAAGAACTGCAATTTATCTTGGAGTGAAATTTTCAGCATTTTATATGTTTGTGTTCTTCTTGCATTAAGATATTAAAAACATTTTATGTCTGATTTGATCAGAAGCATTTGGTAAAATAAAAATTGTTCTTCAACATCATTCCTCATTTTGCACATCTGTGGAAGAAGTCTCCTGTCTTCTTCATTAAGAATTTTGACCTTTTAGTCCTATTCTGTTAGTATAGATATATTGCATCCATCTACCTTAAAACCAAGAAGTATGAGCCACTCTTTCAAACAAGCACCACAGTCTAGTTGAGATCCTTGAATTTTTTCAAAATGGCAATTTCAAGAACCAAGTGTTAGCAGATGATTTTTCTTGCAATGATAATTTTCATCCAGCTAGTATGAAACATAACACATATTTTTAGTTTTCCATACCAAAGTTCCAGCAGCTGACTGATATATTGCAAACCAGAGAATGTCAAAACCATCCTCAGTGCTATTAGACTGGAAACTTTCCTTGACCTGCACTCATGCTGTAGTTATTGGTTCCTTGCATGATCAGGTCTGGATGGTTATATTTTGGTAAACTGAGTTTGAGACCCACAATGACATCTGCCTGGGAATCAGTCTCATGCTTGGCATGTGTGTATATAACAGGATAAATAAATAATCATCGTCCAACTCCATAGTTGACTTCATTAACTCCATTTCACTTACAAATCAGTGGCATATTTCAACATGGCAGACCATTTTATCTTCTGTGTTCTATAACTACAGATGAATGACATATTTCACAATGGTAAATCAGCTCATCTTTCATGTTCTGTAACTACAGATCAATAGCACATTTTGCAATGGTAAATCAGCTTATCTTTCATGTTCTATAACTACAGATCAATCACTGACATATTTCACAATGATAAATTAGCTCATCTTTCATGTTCTATAACTACAGATCAATAGCATATTTTGCAATGGTAAATCGGCTCATCTTTCATGTTCTATAACTACAGATCAAATAGCATATTTTGCAATTGTAAATCGGCTCATCTTTCATGTTCTATAACTACAGATCAATTGCATATTTTGCAATGGTAATTCAGCTTATCTTTCATGTTTTATAACTACAGATCAAATAGCATATTTTGCAATGGTAATTCAGCTTATCTTTCATGTTCTGTAACTACAGATCAATGGCACATTTTGCAATGGTAAATCAGCTTATCTTTCATGTTTTATAACTACAGATCAAATAGTATATTTTGCAATGGTAAATCAGCTCATCTTTCATGTTTTGTAACTACAGATCAATGGCAGTTAAGAATCTATGCCATTTGAAGATGGGTTTATGTATACAATAACAGATCCTGTAACTAATAGGTGTAACAAGATAACCTGCTTGGATTTTGGATTCACAACAGAACACTTTTGATGGTGATATAAATACAATGTTTATTAATGAATGGCTTGAATGAAGAAAAGAATTATAATTAATAAGTGCATGTATAAAGATCCAAATAATGGACAAATAAACACAATCAACATGAATCTAATAATGCAACAAATGTAAATACAAATAAAATGAACTTACACAGCAAAATGAGACGGGTAAATGATTCACAGTGATTTCACACAATGAAAGGAATGAGGTTTTTTACTCAAATAGTACAAAATGATGTACTTTACTCATATAGTAAAATGTGTTCACTCAGATAGTGAAAAATGAGGTACTATACTCGAATAGTAAAGGTGGCACTCACAAGTTATTATGTACTTTTGAGAGTGTGATGAATGTAAGGTGAAGTTGTTTGCATTTTAAACATGCACAGTGGAGAGAATGTTGGCATACCTATATGCTACTTTCATGTAATATGGCTGAAATTTCTTTGGATATTGTACTTTTGAAAATTTTAAATGATCTTAGCACACTGCTAATTAAAATTACTGCTCCCTTGTGCTCCAAAAATCAACATGAATTCATCTAAAGTACACAATCCTAGGCAGCTATTAAAATAGGGAAAATGAATTTTGCCAAACTAAACAATACCAGCTTATAAAAGTGCAATTAATGAATTACCAAATACATAAAATGTAAAAAAAAAGTTATCTGCTCTTTATTTTACGATTTACCTCTGAAATTCGGGAAGTGAAAATGAGTAAGTAGAGCTAGCACTTTTTTTGAAAGGTGCACATCTGGAGTAAGGCCAAGATGTATACTCTCTAACCCATATTATACCCATCAATCATACACCAAAATAAAGAGCCATAAAGGTTTTTTGAACAGTACCTAAAATATACAGTCTTTTTTTAAATGGTATAACTAGGGAGGAAATCCAGGGAAAATTCTTTTTCTGTCAAATTCTAACCCTATGCTAAATGCGAAACTATAGAGCGCTACCAAAATGATGAAAATAAAGGAATAGATATACTGGGTGTAACAAACCCCAAAATTAGCCCATGGCTAAAAGATGACATGCATGGAATAACACAAAACACTCCATCACTAGTACACTTGGCTACCAGTCAAACTGATTAATCAAGCAATCAGCGCCCACCAATTTAGTCAGCAACACCCAATCATCTGCTACTAGAGCAGCAACACTTTTCACTCAGCTCTGCGCTGCTATGCTTCAGCTTTACAGCTATTATGGTCAACTTCTATGAATAGCTCTACAGCTGGTACCATGTCAACTATGATCAACTGAAAATACATCCAACACCAAGTACTATGCATGACACACACATATATGATCAGTGCCGGATTAAACCCTGTGGAGTCCCCATTGGCAGTCAAAATCTCTGGGATCCCTTCGCAAATTATCTCCTATTACATTTTTAATTTTACCAACCCTAAAATACATCACTACCATAGGATTATGCCTACTCTGCCGATTTGGTAATACAGCACCATATACGATAACATATGACAATATATACAGTAAGCTATGCAAAATACATTATGGGCACAACATTACCACAGCTGCCAACCCTCCTGACTCGAAATTAGTGAAAATAGGGATACAAATTAGTCAATTTTGACATGAATTCGTGAAGCAATCTTCAAGTCCAGGAGTACTATTTGTCAGAACAAATGTTTAACATGGGATCCAGCTGATAAAGGTAGATGGCATTGAACAAGAAACTCGCAATGTTTCAGCATTGGTAGCTTGCAGGTCTTCCATCAATGGCTTAAAATATTCTAGAGCTAAAATCTGCTAAGTTCTTAATTTTCCAAACCTCTATGTGCTCCTTGTTAATAATGTACTTTCTCACATCACAGGGGTTTGTTACAAAAAATAGGAGATTCCATCCATGAATCAAGGGATGGGGAGAGGTCTAACCTACAACAATATACAGTTTAGACTGCCTCCTTCACATCCCTTGATTCATGGATGGATACTCCTAATTTTCTTTGTAGCGAACCCTGTGCTCACATCATCTCTGCCACCATGCCCAATGATAAAGTTTGTGGCACACTGTGCGCAAAAAGCATGCTGTATATCTCTGTTTCTTGGCTGAATGCACTGCCAATTTTTGGTATATTCCAAACTTAACTTCATTTTTTGTGCAATTCATTTCATTTTCCTTTGTGGTGAAGATATTTTCAATATCAATGCCAAATGGTAGTTCAAATCAGTGTTAATATCTGTGTGTTAATTCCTTCCTTCTTGCCTCTGGCGATACAGTGGCATTTGGTATTATATAGGAAACAGCACCAACATCCATTAATCATGTTCCATATGTTTCTGCTTTGACAAAGCATCGTGGAAATATAACAAAATCTACTGCCAGAATAAGAAAGGTCATGGACAAAAGGGCGATGGCTCTAAAATTTGCAATGAAAGGTAATGTGCTTGAGACTGGAGTCTGAAGAAGTTCACTATTCTCTTTGAAGTTAGCATCATTTTTATGTGCTGATTTGTGAAAGAATACAGGTTACAGTCAAAGTAATGAAAATCTAAAGAAAAGTCACTGAAGACAGAGATCAGTAGTTCACATGGAATGGCAATTATCACAAAGTTTGCCAAAATTCCCAGCCTGTAAAGAAATACGATGAGAACAATTAGATTCAGAAATCATAATAGCCCACTTCAATAATATTATTTACCTCCTTTAAAGAGTAACTGCAGAGTTATCATTCTTGCAGTGAGCATACAATAGTCACTTCTGGGGAGCAATTTTTACAATGGAGTTAAACAAAGGAAGAAGTGATCCACCAAATTTAAACATTAGCAATGCTAAAGTTCTTGACCTGTGGCAATTTTTAAGAAACCTAGGTTTACCTGTCTCAGGTATTTAGAATGAACTAATTGAGTGAGTAAAAGTTGCACTAGAAATAGGAAAAACACCATTGCAGGTGTTGAGGACTTGCTATGAAAATTTCACAGAAAAACGTAAGCTTGAATGGCTGGTGTCACCGTTAGGAGAAAAACTTCCAGATTTATCAAAGGACAAGTCCAGGTGGTCAGACAACATAACATCAATTCTGTGTGTTACAAACAATGACCTTTGAAACTACCTTTTTCCAAAAAATAGCAGGACATTTGACAATAAGCAACTTGGTGCAAAAAGGCAGTTAAAAGCTAAAGTGTAACATATTTATTACATTCAGTAAAATTCCACGAAATAGAACAGACGTCTCACTTTTATGTGCAAGCTCTTGTGATGCCATCAATTCCAACTCAAAGAATAAAATGGACTATGTTGTGTGGGCCTGTCTGTCCAA